TTACACGAAAGTACGGAGATGAGAAGAGCAATCGACGATAAAACACAAAGGTGAGTCCCAAGGTTTGCAAATTTTTCACCTGTATTACTTGGATATATAGTGAGATCTCCTTCCATCTTATGCCAAGTTGGTCAAATGTTGATGACGGATATACTCACTCCAGGTCTGAAGAAAGACTTAAAGATCGACAACTTTATTATTATTAATTATTTTTTAATTGATTAAATTTGATCATTTTTTGTACCTATTATTTGATCAAATTTAAAGAAAATGAATCTCATAAGTGATTCAGACAGCCTATAAAGTGGAATAGAATGTAGCTTCCAATCAACTAACCAAATATCAATGTCTGTATATAGAATATTTCCACACAGCCAAAGACAAGAGTGCGTGTGTTAACTCTTCTAAATCATTGTATTGTTTAAACAAAAAGTAACTGCTCATCCGACCGTTAAGGATTTTACCAAACGCAGTTTGCAACAAAATTTCAAAATTGTACTTTGATAAGAAAGTAGAAACAAAGGGACTGATTTTATAACGTATTACTAAATATATACTTGTATACATTTTTGAACTGTTGAGAATAATTCTATGCAGGAAATAATTGAACTTAAATAAATACTAATATTGTCCCCCATTTAAGGGTCGAATTATCAAATTTTAGTATAGTATTTGTTAAAGTATATCCCAAAACTTGACCTTGATAGGAAAAGCGTCTTAGGACGAAACTGAGAAACCAGTATCTTATATTAGCTGTTGCTCCATTTTCAGAATTGCACAGTTTAATAAAAAACGAAATCTTAATATTCTAAGTAATTGAATTAATGCCACTTTATAGTTATATAGTTAAAACGATTACAGGAATATTATGTGAGACGATTATCAGCCAAGTGGCAAATAATCGCGTCTTAATATACGAGTATTTAATACAGCTGTACGAGATAACGCATTGATTGTAAAAGTAATTGAAATACAAATCTGATTAACTGTTAATCAGCTTCTTTGGAATTGTCTGTTGAAATCTTTCCTTTCTTCGCGCTTACTTGTAATTATAATCCCCAACACCTTCGACGCACTTTGAACTCTGACCGGTGGCTCGGCTAGACAGTTAGCTTGGATTAGTTGCAGAGCTCGATCGATCAGGAAGTGATGTTCGAGTGGATCGAGAATCGGAATTAATCAGATAATGCGTATACGCACCGTTGCTCTCTGATTAGAAGACAACAGCACAAAGGCAATATTTTGCATAAACTTGCCGCTCGCAACTAACATCTAATTATGATTGCGGCCACTGCCTACTTGCAACTTCCAATTGGCAACTGGCGCCAATAACAACAACCACAACAACAACAACAACAACAGCAGAAGCAGTGGCAACAACAATTTCTAATGCAAAGGAAAGGCGCGTGTGGGCCACTCGAAGGTTTTTCTTTTCTTCACTTTTCGCTTTCCAGTTTTCTTCTATGAACTTGCAACATCGTCGGCGACTGCCGTGGCAGCTGCCTGTTTCACTTTTCTAACATGCTGCTGCCTGCTATTGAATAATGGCAAACGAGTTTTTCTTTGGCGCATCATGGCAACAACACCAACAACAAGCCTTTCTGGAAAAACCAAAGCGCAGCTGAGCCGAGGCATCGGCAGCGGCAGCGACGTCTACGTCGACGGCGGCAGCGGCTGTGACGCGGGTGCCAGGCGGCGCAATGTTGTAATGTTTGTTGTGGATGTTGTTGTTGTTGTTGCTGTTGCTGTTGCTGTTCAATGTACTCTCTCTCTAACTTTTTTTTAGCTAATGCCAGTTGGAACTCATAAGCTAGCTGTTGTTGTTTCTTTTTCTGTTTTCTGCTATGCACAGTGGGAACAACTTCATGAGAACCAGACTAAAAGTGGCCCCCTTTGAAGCCTATTATTGAAAATTAACCAGATTGTTTGTATAGCATGTACTTCCAGAAAAGTCTAAAGGCTAAATGCAGGCGTTACAGACCCCATGGTGTACGATGAGTTGATAGAAATAAGTGTGCGTGCCTGTTGGTCTGTTTGTCCATCTGTTTGACTGTATGATCGTCGAGAACTTTTGAAGCATAACTGCTGGGGACGCCAAACTTGGAATGTTAACTTGGCTCATTCATATGTATATGTACAGAGAAAGTTTGTCCCAAACTATATATAATGTCATTATTTCATATAGCTGTCATAGAAAAGATGGGTAATAAGATCACTCTTCGTAGCATACTTGTTTGTTTATGAAGATATTTTATTAAATAAACATAATCTGAAGTTTCATTACAATCGGTCCACTATATCATATATAGCTCTTATAGTTGCTGTGGTGCAAAAACCAATCTCAGCAGCAACAACTTGTTTGTAAACAGATGTCTTTGGGGTTGGCTAAGAAGGGGAGCTTTCAGTCCAGGGAGGGAGAGAGGGTATGAGAGATGGTTGACCAATATTTATTTAATATTTATTTATACATTATTTATTTTTATTATTTATTTATTATTTATTTATACATTACGATGATCATTTAAAGCGTTGATCTTCAACATTGAATTAACTTATAGAGTCACTTTTATTTTCATCTCATTAGTCTTTTTTACATACAAATGGAGTTCAGTTCTGCAGGAACTAACCTATGTATCTGAAGTGATTCCTGAAAACCTCTATTTCAATTCCCGCATATTCTTGTAACTTCTCATAAACCCATCTTTTCGTACACACCTATGGATTTAAGAGATGCTACGAACAAGTGAATTTGATGAGCTATTAAAGCTTAGATCTCCCTATCACTATGCTAAACGATATTTTGCTCAATTTTCTCACATTTGCGAATACTTGTAAGCTAATGCTGGAGGGATTGCAGGAATTTAGGATTGAAATGTTAATCGCCTTTACTGATCCGAATTTTTTAGCCGAGTGTACACCTTTATGCTGAAAACTTGCCACTGTATCATGTTTTGTCGCTTTTTGTTGTTGTTGTTGTTTTTATTGTTTTTGCAAAGCACATTATTTGCTGATGTTGCTGTTGCTGTTGTTGTTGTTGCCGTTCAAGTTTGCAGCTTTGTATTCCGTAGTCGCTATAATTTCCAGTCCCCAGCCTTCCCATTCCATCCCAACCATCCCAACCATTCCATCCAACCATCCAACTATCCATCCAGCTGTCCATTCGTCCGTAGTTCAATGTTAACGAACTTTTTGCGCTATGAACGAGTTGTTGTTGCTCGTGCTATTGTTGTTGTTGTTGTTGTTGTGTATAGTGTTGTTGTTGTTGTTGTTGTTAGACTTTCACTTATAATGCATTTGGCGACTGTTGCATTTCGCTCTCTAAGCAGCAGCGGCAACAACCAACAACTGCGGCAACAACTGCTGCAGCAACGGCCAAAACTTGTTGTTGTTGTTGTGTGTGAGTGTGTGTGTGTGTGTGTGTGGTTGTTGTTGTTGTTGCTTTTGTTGGTTTGCATGCATTTGTTCAGGCAGTTCAATAACATGTTATGTAAAAAGCATTTTTCCAAACTTATCTTTACCATTGCGGCCGCGACTGTTGCTGCTGTTGCTATTGTTGTTGTTGTTGTTGTTGTAGGCTTTTCTTGAAAATGTTGCACGTCTCTATGCAATTTTTCTTTCTATCTCAGCTGCTGTGGCTCTTGTTGTTGCTGTTGTTGTTGTTGTTGTTGCTCTTGCTGTTAGACATTTTCCCCATTTGCTGTTTTGTTGTAAAATTCGCGTTTGCAGGGCGCTGCTGCTGTTGTTGTTGCTGTTGCTGTTGCTGTTTTATGTTGTAATTCAAATTTCTAATGTTATTGAACTTTAAAAATCCAATAAAAAAATACGAGAGAAGAAAAGAAAGACGTTGCTGCAAACGAAAATTTTGTTATAACCGGAAGCGATGAAGGCAACTAAAAAACTGAAACAATGCAATGCTCTGACTTTGACTTTCTGCATAAATACACACACACACACATATATATATATATATATATATAGACACACACACACACATGGATAAATATGTAATTTTTGTAGCTTCTTCCCCTGCTTGGTTTGCAAATGTATGCTGTTGTTGCTATTGTGGCTCGGCAGCAGAAATAATTTGTAATTAAAATGCTCGATCGCTAGATATGCCATTAGCCATCATTATTATTGTTTTGTTGTTGTTGTTGTTGTGGTTGCTGCTGTCGTTGCACAAAAATTTGCATTGCATGGCGCATCTGTGCAGGTTGCAATGAAAACGAAGACGGCAGACAGCTTGGATTGGAAATGGAAATGCCTCAAGTGGGCGTATATGATAAGCCATGAGAAGGAGGGAGGGCGGGGGCTGGCTGTGGGGCGAGGTCTTCGAGCCATTCACCTGAATCTTAAATCATAACAGAATGCTCTTCTCATTAGTTATTATTTTTTCATTAAACTGAGTTCATTGTTTTAAATATAATTAAATTATTTGAAAACAACAGTTTAAGCTAAAGGCGCTTGTTAAGGAAACCACAAATCAATAGTTTCAAGGACCTGACACATATGTAGCAACAATTGAAGAACGATGAGGAATAATTTTTAGATCTTTAATTTTTCTTCACCTCCAGTAGGAATAACGCTATTGGACCCATTTAAAATGTTTGTAGCTTCAGGAGTAACTGTAGCAGAAACTCAGCATAGATCCGATGGCTGGTGCGATGGCCTTAAAGGTCTTTTGTGTCAGATAACACGTACATTAATAGAACATTTCCCCTCATTTGCGGGTTAATTTGTCAAATCTCACTGCAAATCTGCCCTCTGATTCTTCGCTTTAGCCTCAACGATTTTCTATTGAGTTAAAACGTTCTCTTACATTAAATTGGAGGTGCATTTGGACTAATATTCGACGCTGCGTGTAGCAAAGAAGGGGCAGCAACAACCATTCATTATTTAACAAATACTTCACGAATAGTTCAATTATTAATGCTTTTCCGATATCTCCTTTTCTTTTCAGACCCTAAAAGACTATCGTGGAGCGCTCTACTTGTAAAAGCAAACAGTTTAAACCAAAATAAAAGTTAACCTTTAGCTGAAAAATTAAGTATACGCCTTGTACAACAATTGTGAATTGTACATTTTTTTAAGTGTTTTTCTGCTGTTGCAAAAACAAAATTTAAACATTAACAAACTAAGGACTAAGGCTAAAAAGAACCAACAAAACATATTGAAAACCAAAACGAAACCGTCTCTAAAAAGTGCCTAAAAATCTTATGAAAATCATTTACAAATTTGTGAATACCAGAAATTGGTCCAACCTGAAGTGTGATAAAAATTTAAGCAAGAAAACAAAAACAAAACTTAAACAAGTGACGGCAATTCGTACACAATTTGAACGTCGCAGATAAGGACAAGAAGAAGAAGAAGAAGAACGGAAATAATCTTTCATCCAAAGTGAAACTCTTGGATATCCATATACACATATATAGTATTTTGTAATTCGGAATCGCGTCAAGAAAAGGCAACACGCTGGCAGTTAACGGTATTTGCAGTGCAGGCTTTGCCTTATCAGCGATGCCATTTATCGATGACGCACTGCTCTGGTGTCCCGATAACGATGGTCGTCTTGTCGGAGGTCTAGACCTAGCAACCTGCATGCCGGTAAGTGGCGGATTCCCCCAAAAAACCTCTTCAACTAATCAATTAAATGATTGAATGCAATCGAATTATTTAATTATAAAACTGAAGACTTAGCTATGTATAACCAGACCCATAGGAGCCATTCATCAAATAAACTAGTTGGGTAAAGCAAATCCCGCATATGTACGAAAATCCAAAAAATTCAGACTCTCATTATTGACAAATCTTTTGAAAACAAAACTTAGTCCGAAACAGCGCTTTCTAATTCTCCATTTCATCACTCCCCTTACAGTCCATAATTTTGAAATACTAGACGGTTTTTGTTTGACCTACTTGGATAGAGCCTCTCATTATCTGTCCATATCCATATCATTATCCAGTATCTGGAAGTCAACCCCCAGTGCACGGTTGAAGCCCAGCCTCTAATAACCACATTTTTTCCTGTATTTAAACTTTGCATAACTAAGTGTGGTCTATTGACGATGCAGGCCTATTCCCAAATAAATAATTCGCAAACCAACAACATTTTAGAGAACGTAGCGACTCCAAACTTTACACTTGAGATGGTTAAAGTAAATCATAATTTTTTTATAGACAACATTCGCATTCTATACTAGGAGTTCCCTAAATGGATTTCAAAAACTAAAATTAGAAAACAACATAAATGTATAGAAAAATATTAAAAGTGGCTTAAACAATGCAAATAATACCAATAATAATCAAAATGCAATTGTTTTAAACAATCGACTAACTGTTTTAATAAGCTCTTCCCCAACTTTCGCTTCGCCCCCATTCCACAGGACGAGTCCACGGATAACGGCGAGAATATAACAGGAACAATCGCAGGCGTTGGAAGCACAGGAACAGTCCCCCAAACATCGTCCGCATCAGCCGGCGGAGCGGGAAACGGAATCGGAGCGCAGACGGCCTCGACTCAGGAGCTGAGCGGCTCGGCAGCACGGAATGTGAATGTGGTGGTGGAGCCACTCTGTGGCGGTGACTCATCGGACGAACTCTTCCGCACGCTCTCCGAGAGAGAGATCTCCTTCGAGATCGACAGTCTGCTGTCCGATTTGGCGACCGTCGAAGTCAAAGTCGAAAATGTACATTCCAAAAGCCAAACAGAGAGAAGTTTCAACTTCATTTTTCATCCATTTGTTTTCTTTTTTAATGCGCAACGACAAAGTGTACCGATACATTTGACCGTTATCCATACACAACACACTCTTATGCTTTGCTCTTTCTCTCACTCTTACTCACACACACACACACACACATACATGCAACCATATTGGAATATGTAGTAGAGGGCTGCGTGGTTGCATTCATTTGCTATGGCAAGCGAGCTGCACATTCGATTCGTTTTCAATATCAGGCACCAAAGTGCCAAATGAATGAGTGAATGAATGGCTGACTGAAAAGATTTGATGAAACTCCGGTGGGGATACCGGAAGAAACAGATCATTTAGATTTGTGTTTATTTCTATATCAGCTATATAATATAGTGAGGCAATTTTAAGGAAACTAATTTTAAGGAAACAAAACTCATTAATGCAAGATTTACTTAAGATATCTTTCCAAATAACTAAGTTTTTCCACTTTGAGTGATTTTTGAAGCGAACTCCCCTATGAGAGTTATGTAAAATAATTAGGCAAGGCATGGCGTGTAATAAATTTGTTCTGCGTATGAATAAGACTAGTCTTCATGCTGTTATGTTTCTTATCGGGGTTCATACAGACGAACATGTCTCCCGTTACTATTTTTGTGTTCATACATATATTCACACTTCCAATATAAGTAGAGTAGGCTTATGTACACAAATACCTATATCAGTTGAAGAAAGTGCTTCTATCCGCCTACTGTTACTCCCACAGTATGAATCGGGAATCAAGACAGCACTTGTGTTAATTTGCATTGGAAATTCCTATGGCTTGATCCAGTACTTGCAACATCAAGACATAAGTGGCCATTCATTTATTCATTCAAATGCAAACCGCTAAGACTCACATAACTCAAATGCTTTTGAATGCATTCATGCAGCTCTCTAATATGAATCGTATATTTGATTTATTTTACTATTAATTTTCTATCTTCTTCTCTCGTTTGCTCTTCTCGCCCCCAAATAACAACAACAATTTCTCCCACTTCTTCCTCTCTTCCTTTCACTTCTGCCACTCCTCTCTTCTGCTTCTTCTCTTCTCGTTCCTATGCATATGCTTCCTAGGAGGAGAACAACAACAATGTCATTAGTGCCGCCGATGCCGGCGTTTTGGCCAACGATGGCGACTTCGCAGCCAGCGTCGCCGCCGCCGTCGTTGCCAACGACGACTTGCTAGCCAAAGATAATGCCGCACTCAGTGCCTCCGGCCTCGTTGACTCAGTGGGTGCCACCCTGGCCGATGGCGGCGACCCGCACTCCAGCGCCACCGCCTTGTTGGCCTTCGGCTCAGGCACGGCCGCAGCGGCGTCGGCATCGGCGGCCATTGCTGCAGCAGCGGCTGCCCTCTGCGGGGATATGCTGAACAACAACAGCAACAATGAGTGCTCATCCAAATTGGAGTATGGATTGTTGCAACAACAACAACAGCAACAACAACAGCAACAACAGTTGTCGCCCCACATGGAGCAGCGTTTCGTGAACAGCGCCGCTGCCAATCCGCTGCTGGTGGAGAAGCTGATGTCCAAGTGTCTGAACATTGAGAAACGATTGGACAAGCTGAGCGGTGAGTGCAAATGTGACATTTTTTAACTTTAAAAGAGAAATGATTTATATTAGGGAACAGTGTAAGTGAAACCTGTTTAAAAAACACTTTTTCTGCAACATTCGCGTAATTTAAAAAATTCTTAAATAAACCCATATCCACAGTTTGGGAGTCATTGCATTAAGCATGCATGTTGCCGTAGGTTGATGCCTTGGCTACAGTTTGATGTTTTCTTGTTATGCCTAAAAGCAGGCAACAAAAAGTTTGTATGTACAGTTGAAAGAAGCAATGCAGACAGCATGATGCAATTCTGAAGGGTATGTCTTTGTCTTCGAGTTGCTTATATGATATTCTGATATTCTGGGCAAGTCAGTCCATAGAAGGCGTTAGCTTTGTCGCACCTACTGGGACTTTCAATTACTCCCCCTAGTTTGTTAGGAATTGATCGAAGACTAGTGCAGGCAAGTGGAAAATATCATTCGGGTTGGATTAGCTGGAATGAAATTGTGGGGTTCTTCCAAAAAACTGTATTCATTGCTAAGTAGATTAAAAAAAAAGTGCACTAACGAAGCCTACAATATGTGTAAATTGAAAACGCTCTTAGCCGGACACTAACTGTGTTCTAGAAAAAGTGTGCAACCTTTCTAAAATTGTAAATTCGTGTTCACACAGCAACATTTTAGTGATAATAATTGCCCGATAGACAGATAGATATATACAAAAATAGTGTCTTCTTTTCTCCCTTGTGTAGGCAAGAGGCAGAACTACTTGCTGCGTTTTTAAACTACTTTATTCTAACTTTGATTGTAAGTCATATCATTTCCTCAGTCTACTTATATCAAATGAATCCATTCTGAAATCCAACCGCCCTGCATTACACTTGGCATCACTAAACAATCGAAATTACAGAGCTGAGCTTATTTGCGCGTGAGAGTCGAAACGTTGCAGCCTTTGGCGGCATACCCGCTATAATTGTATCGCGTGCAGCCACCAGCTGGTAAAGCTCTGCTCCCAAGTGGTAGGTTTCTTATCTACCACATGGTGAGTTCGGGTGTCAGCACGCCACCTGTTGGCGATGCTTCTAAGCAAGTGAGTCAAAATATTTCGCCAACTGCCCATTTCCATTTCTGCTTATTTATGAGTCGTCTTTGTGTCCTTTTTTCATTGTCCTTGGGTGGAATAATGAGAAAAGTGATTTATCAACTTCATTGTTTCAGTTGGGGGCTTCAAAATCGTGCAAAAATGGCAGACAGAATATAACTCCAGTTCGCAAAAAGTTGCACTCTTCATGAGGCTGCAAAGTTAGTTCGAGTTTCAGCGTCAAAGCTTGAAGAAGGAAAATTTATGGACATCGACGCCGTATATTGTGTGGCAGCAGCTCAGCAGCCAGCAGCCAGCTGAAGCATGCGTCAATTTAAAATTGATTGTTGCCGACCTGAAGCGGAAAATTTCACGCATTTCAGAGTCAAACAACACATAAAACGGCCAAATCCCGACAGGGTGTGCCCACGTGGCTGCACCGAAGCGCAACTAAGCGGTCCAACCGCCCAAGCAGCAAACATACTCGTAAAACGCGTCTCAGTAGAAGTCGCAATCGCTGTCTGTACACAAATAAACGTCTATTGACACGAGACCCAGACAGCGGCTGGAAGAATGGCGGCGGCGCGGTCGCCACTCAAACACCGCAGACATGAACCTCCAACCACCCACCAACACCACCACCACCACCTACACGCTCCCCAATCCCCAATCCCCACTTCCCACTGGCCAACCCCTCTCCCCCTCCCTCAAGGCACCAGCCAAACAAACTCCCGCTGCGAACCGACACCAACTTCCTTTTCTAAAAACGCCAGACAGACTACAGCGAGGAGCGCGGGCGGCGGCGGCGACGACGGCCATGTTTTTTCGGGTTTCCATGTTTCCTTTACACAGACACACACACACAGACACACACATACACACAAGTGGGTGCACTGCGCAAAATAGTGGGTGTTGTTAGAAAGGGAAACAGAGTACAGTGTAAACTCTCTTGGTCGGCCAATTTTTGTCCGCCCCAGGGGAGTGCCCGCTTAAGGGGATACTTAAATACTTTATTCACCGATCGAATGTTTTTAGAAAAAGAGTCCGCCGAAGAGAGTGTCCGGATAAAAGAGGTGTCCATTAAGGGAGTTTTCACTGTATATTGACAAAAGGCTGCAGCTAGTGAGGGCATAAAGCCCTACTTTCGCGATATATTTCTTATTTTTCTTTGGAAAGAAGCAACACGCATAGTGTTTTTGATAAAATTATGAAAAAATGCCTAAAAAATTCACGATTTATTATTAAGTTAGCTATTAAGATAGCTTAAGTTTGCGTTAAGCTCGACTCATATCCGAAACCATTCTATGCTTTACCTATTGAAGTAATGAGCTTTCAATACAATTTTTTTTGTTTAATTGTAAAATTAAAAAAATATATATATAAATGCTATTTTTTGCACCATCTTCCTTTGGTAATTAATTAATTTTCGATCATAAGTATTTGTTTGTTTAAAGACTGGAGTCGGTCGACTAATTGTTGCATAGAAATATAATTTTTAATATCAGTACCTCTTTATTAATTAAATCATTTCTTCTCTATTGCTCGATAATGCAAGCACTGATACTATATTTGATGTGCGTGTTCATTAAAAAAAAAACACAAACATTTGCGATCAAGTATGTCGATTCAATATCATTACTATTCGACAATTTATTTCTTTCTTTATTTTATTTCGACACTTTAGCAGAAATTTCATTTTCAAAACTCCATTTTCGATTCCTTAACAACACCTAATTCTTTGGCGCGTTTCCTTTTCTTTCATTTCATTCATTCAGTACATTTGAATACTTTTCCATGTCATGTACTTATTTTTTCAGGTGTAGGGCATCAGGGAAACATTAGAGGGCGACATTCGAGTGAGTCAGGGATGGGTTGCGGGTGCGCGCGCATGAAGCCAAGTCAGACACAAATACATCCATCGAAACGCTCGTCTAAGTCCACCCCCTCATGGGGCCCGTCGGCCCCCCTTCCAGGGCCAGACGCGCCGTCTGTGAGGTCAATAAATTTTGCGTGTGGAAATTGTGAGCTCAAGGTCAAAAGGATATTGCCTTGCGGCTGTGGGCGGCAACCGAAAGCGGCCGTAGGAAATGTTTGGGCGGCTGATATATTTAAACCAAGTTGTGGGTGTGTGTGTGTGTGTGTGGGTATGTGGGTGGGTGGCGCACAGACAAAATGGCGGCCCACGCCACCAGCACGGACTTTGGGTGTCGCCATTTTGTTGGTGCGTGTGTGCGTGTCTCTGAATCTGAATCCAGACGAAACTGAAACTGAAAACGAAAACGACGTCGCCGTTGACGCCGGCAGCAGAGTCGAGTCGGCGCAGCCTATAAAGGCACGGGTTTTATGGGCTTCATGTGCCGTAAACAACAACAACAACAACAGCAATGAGGACGACGGCGGCTGGTCCTTTCCGGCAATGAACGCCAGCCGTAACCTTGAACTTGAAAATGTTCGTCGAAGTTCAAACGCACGAAGAAAACAGAAATACAACAGCCTTCCAAAAACGAATAGAAAGAAAGGAATGGAGGAAGGAAGGAAGGAGTGCAGGAGTGGAGGAAGGTTGGTTTCATTGGTTAGTTGTTTGGCTGACAGGCGTTAGACGCTCTTGGCTGGGGTTTTTTTGGGTTCAAATGAACTTTAATTCTCAAGGATATTTTGTGCGATTGAGCGCCTGCAAGGTTGGGTGCAGGACTACGGACTACTGTCCAATCATGCCGTTGACATTGTCGTCAACGCGACCGGCGTCGGCGTCGGCGGTTTCTAGCGTTTTCTGACGGGTTGGAGATGCTGGCGTCGGCTGCAAAGATTGTTCACTTTTTCGAGTTCAGCACAGTCCAAGGTTCTTTTGTGGCAGTCGCCCGCCCCTTCGCCCCCCTCCTCCTCCACTCTACAGCAATTGCCACTGCTATTAATGTCAAGGGGTTCGACTTGAACGCTTGAAAAGTGCGTTTGTTGGTTCCTCCGTCGCTGCGACTCAGACTGTGGCTGTTTCAGTGGCTGTGGCTTTGTTGGCCGCTCACTTGTTCAACGATTATTTTATTTATTTGATTACGTTTTTGCAATTTTCTATTCTCGATCGACGATCGTTGAGCTCATGGCTATAAGAGCGCCGTGCGCCGTGCACGCATTTCTTGGCTCGCACCAACACTCCCCAATCACCCCCTACACCCTCCCCTATTGCCGACGATCTTGTCCGCCTCTGGCGCGATTTGAATTTCAAATCATGTCGCGGCTTTTCAAAATGTGCGTTGTTATAGCCAAATCAGGATTTCTGCGTGCTCTGGCAACAACACCAACAACACCAACAACACTAACAGCAACAACAACAATCGGTAAACGACAATTACAACTATAACAACAACAATAAACGATGTCAGGGGCGTTCATTTGTCCATTGCCAGCCAGCCAGCCAGCCAGCTAGCTAGCCAGTCAGTTAGCTAGTCAGAGAAGAGGGGTTATGTGGGTCGGGGGAGGAGGAGGGGCGGGGGGTAGGTGAGCGAATGGCCGCTCGTCACTGTCACCGTCAAAGCGACTAACAACAAGCGCCAAGCGTTTAACGCCAAAACGCCAAACATTTTCAAAATAGAGATGGGTGCGTGACAAAAATGCAGTAGTTGGAGATGGGGGAAAAGATTCTTCCTAATTTCTTCCCCTCCTCAGGAGTTACATTCATGTACACATCAAATATTCTTTGGACATGCTTGTGAAGGATTAGGAAATGTTTAGATCGTCTAGATTCAAATAAAAAGTAAACGAAATCAATTGAGATAAGTAGTACGTGAGTAGTTACACGCATTATAACTAAGAAAATGTGAAAGGAAACCTTAAAATAATAAGTACTAATAATATACAGGGAAAACTCCCTTAATGGACACCTCTTTTATCCGGACACTATCTTCGGCGGACACTTTTTCTAAAACATTCGAAAACTGTAATAAGAA